AACATCACACAGAGTTTCTATTGTGTATCACAGCTATGGTAGCATGGTGGATATGTGACATCGGAACATTTGTTGGAGCATTTGAGCCCTCATCTACTCGATCGCGGGCCAGAGGCAGGATGGACATCATCATAGAAGCATTCAGCAGGAGGAGGTTATGTGATCAGTAGTGTCTTCTTGCGTGTTTTTGTTTGCTTGGCAGGTGATGGCCGAGGGTGACCAATCTGCGAGTGCTGCGCAGGCGAGGAGTTTGAGTGGAAGTAAGCACATTGGCCAGTGGCTGCTTTCAAAAGTGTTGGATAAGTGATTTGGAAAGCAGCTTGTGCTTTGGGACCTTGCGCAACAGCCGACGCGAGCTCAAGCACAAGCAGAAACGTGAATAAGATAATAGTGCTCAAAGGATAGGGAGATGAAACGCTTGAGAATATAAATGTAGTAGGTGTATCTCTTCGAAATGTTTCAGTGAGAAAGAGTGGAGAAGTTACATACGATCTAGATATTTAGATGTCGCTTGACACTGCAAGATGGACACTGTCTTTTTGCACTTGGGAAGTTTGAACACATTGGGACTGAACTGGTTTTGACCGGGAAGGTCTTGTGTTTCAAGAGCCATGGCAAAGAGATCATGGCCATTTGGTGTCACGAGTTGGGATGACACTGTGAAATTTGCGCAGCTTTTGTTTGGTGTAGACGTTGCCTTTGAGAACTATGCAGAGAGATTGCCGCATAGATCGAATAAATCCTTCTTGCTATTCGCCAAAGGCGCTTGTGCTGAGGGAACGCCCTTCTTCGAGATTGGAGATTTCATTGCACCGCAGCTAGAAGAGATTCAACGTTGGGAAGATTCCACCAAGTTTGTGCGCGACATGATTTCTGTCGGCCTTTTGCCCTTGACAGGGGATGAAGAAGCGTTGCATAGAACTGCGGCCTACAAGCCGCGAGTGGCACTGCAGTGAATCCACGAGCAGAACAACTGAGGTTGAAAGAGAAAGTGCCCATGATCACGCAGCCGCTACTGGATGCTCAGCGCGCCGCCATGACAAATGATAGCATGGGCCTCAGCCGCTTGTCGGCGGACCGGGCTGCTACGAGCGACTGCGCAGAGCGCGCAGGAGAGTTGGCTGCAAACAGTGATGTCGCGATGCCAGAAGCAGAATGGCGCACCTTTAGCAAGCCATCTGCAGCGATGGCGCGGAAGGTTGCTGCGTTTGAAAAGTCTGCCGCTGGATTCAAGCTGGCGCCGGAGCAATTGTCTGCTTGCAGATGGTTTGGTGAGGCAATGGATGTCGCTTTACAGGAAGAAGAGAACAAAATACCTTTGCGAAAACGTGCGCAGCACGCATGCCTTTTGATTGGCGCCGGTGGCACTGGCAAGACGACAATCATTTTGGAGCTCATGCTGGATGTTTTTTGTCACTTTTTTCCAGCCAGGCCCGGAGAAGAAGAGCGATACATGATTGCCACCTTCAGCCATGCCCAATCGGATGCCATTTCCAATGATGTCTATCGCGCGCGAACATGTCATACTGCTTGCTCGTATCGTGTAGCCAGTTTGCGCAACAAGCATTTGGCCTTGAAGACAAAAGAGCAAGAGATGAAACAACGCTGGCAGCCGAAAATTTTAATCATTCAAGATGAAATCAGTTTGGTGCCAGCTGCAGTGGAAAACATGATGCTTTACCGCAGCATGCGCGCCCGTCAAGATGAAGGCCTTGATCCAGCCAGCTATTTCCACCCAGGAGAGCTCATGGGACACATACCAATTTTGCTGATTGCAGGTGATTTTTTGCAGATCAAGCCTGCCAACGAGATCTCCTTAGCTGACAATCTCGAAGAGCTGATCCGCAAAATGCCGCACAGAGTGCAGACAGAACACCATGCTGCCCAGGCGGCATTGATGACCATTGATACAGTGATTCATTTGAAGAAGTCGAAGCGGTTTCTGGATGCTCACCTGCCAGAAATCACAACAGCCATGCGCACGTGCACGCCTGCTGCTCCCTTGTCCGAGAATCACTTGGCTCAGCTGCGCACTCGCAAAATCGAAAATTGCAAGAAAGAACTAACCACGGACTTGTTCAAGCATGGTCACGTCATTGGCATGTATTGGGAGAACATTGCTCGCAGCATGGTGGAATGGGCAAATCGAGATGCGCAAGACCTGGATGTGCCGTTATTTTGTTTGCAAGCTGCTGACCAAAGGCATTCCAGAAAAAATAAAGCCATAGACAAGCAGCTGACGCATCAGCTGCTCACTGTTCCAAACCCGCATCGCACTGGCAAATTGCAAGGCATGCTACTGGTGCACGAGAACATGGTTGTGCGACTGGCGGATGTCTTGGCTCCACACCTTGGATTGGTTAAAGACAAACTGGCATCGGTAGTGAAAGTGGATTTGCACCATGAAGATCAGAAGCGCCTGGACCGTCGTGAACCTGGATTCTGTCATTTTTTTCCGGACTACATGGCCAAAGGTATATGGGTGAAATTACTTAAAGGAAAGAATTCGCCCATGGAAGATGCTCTGTTGCAGACGTGGGAAGAAAAGTTTCAGAATGTGGCCGATCACACAACTGACGCAAAGACATTGTTCTTTGTGGAATTGGTGCATGCAGAGTTCAAAATTGATTTGAAGCTAGGCGAGGAAACGGAGAAAATTGAAGTGATTCGCTGGCAGTTCCCGCTTTTGCATGGCATGCTGCGCACTGCTTACAGCGCGCAAGGCTTGACTTTGGACGGAGGTGTGCTGGTTGATTTGCGTCGTGGTGGTGGCCTAGAGGATGCGGACTGGTGGCTAGCCATCTATGTCATGCTGACGCGTGCCCGCAAACTGAAGAATCTCATCTTGCTGGGGTTCACGGAGCAAGTGGAGGAGCTTTTACGCAAAGGCCCTCCTACCTACTTGCGAGAACTGACTGACAAGTTGGAAGCCAAAGCTGCTTCGACGCTGGAGCGGCTGCAGTCCTGGCCTGTCTATGATGCATTGCAAGCATCCTGACACAGTGCTCTGCCAGTGGGACCTAATCGGTTTTGACTGAAGAGGTCCGGGGGAGGCATAGGCCTGACACGTTGCTCTACCTGTGGGACCTAATCGGTTTTGATTGAAGAGGTCTGGTGGAGAAATAGAGAGTTGCAGCTGCAGCGATCTGATGAAGTAACACTGGCATGGTTTTGTCGAGTTTACACGTGAGCTTGCGAGCCTTTGACTTTGGTTCAGGGGTCCACTGGCTTGGTTCAGTCATGTTTGTACAAACATGTTTGACAGGCGGCGTGCTGACATGTTTGGGCATGTTTGTTTGTTTGGCTCAGGTGGTCCACTGGCCTGTTTGGTCATGTTTAAACAAACCTGTTGAGAGCTCTGGAGTTTACTTCACATGGTCCACTGACATGTTTATATCCTGTTTGACAGTCTGACCTGTACAATGACCTGCCAGGTGAAACAAATGATTGGGATAGTTAGTTGGGCAAAAGTCCCGTGACAAAAGCTTCAGACAAAAGTGGTGTCAACAAGCTGTTTTGAAATGTCATGGTGGGGATCACTCGAAGTAAAGTAATTTCCAAAAGATCCGGGAAACACTCCTCTTTATCTATGTTGGCACTCCCAGTAGCCAACTGGGGAAATTGGCAAATCTGTTTTAACAGAAACCACGCTGGAAAACTGGAAAACCTTAATATTGGTTGTCTGGAAGTAAGGGCACCCCAAACCCTATATTTTACCACAATATTCTTATGGAAATTGCAAGTCGTGGATATGCCTTAATTTCCAACACACCCAAATCTCACATTGCTGGTTGTATATCCAATTATAGTATACTAAAATACCATTATATATGTGTATAATTATTTTTCATGGTAAAGGCAAGTAACTTCAATATGTTTATATAAGGGTCGTTGTGAGCTTTGTATCTCCATGTAACATTTGATTTTCTCATTAACATCTCCATCTGTAGGGGATTTCCCGGCTTGCTATGTTTGATCACCAGAAAATCCCACGGCAGGCGCTAATCGCCTCGGATTCACGAAGAAGTCAGAGTGCAAACTCATGGTGCAACACCTGCCGTATAGCCGTATAGCGTTTAAATAACCAACTCGTATCTAATTGGGGATTGGGCGAAGGAATCCTGAAAAAAACAGAATATGTATACTGTATACTGTGTATCTGAACAGGGGGTACTGGTTGAAAAATCTAAACTAAATGAAACTTGTAACTGGAAACATCATCTGTAAAAGGTGGGTTTTCCAGCAAGCCACGTTTGTCTACTAGAGAGTAATCCCAAAATAGAGGCGAATTATATATGCATACTGTGCAACAAATATGTTCTGTTCTTTGTCGGGCTCTAAACCCAAATTGAGGTATCTTATGGTATTTTTATGTTTGTTATACATGTGCTTGCCATCCCACCATGTGGCCCAACGAAGATACTACACCATGAATTGGGGCTTGGAAGAGACATGTCTCCTAAAATTGGCATATTATCAGGTCTGAATTTGGGACAATTTGGGGGTGGAAAATCCACCAGCTTTTGGTGCTTACACTAGTACTGCTGATGCTTGACCCCACCTCCATGGAGCTGCATCTATGTGTCTTCAGTAAACATCCACTATCTGGGTGGCTTAAAAATGGTTTAAGTCTAAATGCCCATCATTGTTTCTTCGCGCTGAAAACTATCTGTTGGCAGTTCCCTTCTGCGTTTTGTGGGTCCAACAGGTCCAACATCATCAAACATCCACATGTCCAAGTAAACATAGTAAATCTACATGACTGACAATGACTGACCAACTCTTGGTGTTAAATAAACTGTATTATCCACTAAAGCCATGATTTTTTTCGGTGTTGATCCCAGCCGAGGGAAGTCAGTGACCTACTCCCCACACAGAAACCTCCACACACTGATGAAAAACACACCGGACAAAAAAAGCACACACTGCTTAGCACACACACCCCACACCAACAACAATAAAAATAAAATGAAACAAAAAACAAGCTAAATTCCGACCTCCTAAGAGGCCACTTGAACCTGAATCCGGTTGACTAGTACCGCAGCTGTCCGTTCCAAAATGGGACCGCAGGTCGGGCGTCTTCCTGCCTGGTGCTCCACAAGTTCCTGGAAGGATAGCTCAACAGCATGCAGCATGGCACCTTGCTGAGGAAGCACAACTAACACAAACAAAGGAGGTGTGAGGTGCGTTTCTGATTCTATGATTAGTGGTTTCGACATGTTTCGACCCCTTGAAATATTTGATTTTGTTTTTTATCATCTAAAACAGGTTGGGAACCAGCCGTCATTCTTGCAATGATATCGTTGCAACTTCTTTTTGCAACTAATTTTCCTTGGCAACCATACCAAAAAGGGGTTGAGTTTGCCCCTACTTGGTGTCCCACAAATGCATACTGGAGAGACATGTGGCCCATTCGTCAGAGAGAATGCAATCGAATCATGTTCAAACAGGCACTACCACATACCACAGTGGACCATGTAACCTACTTACAGGCGTTCTACGGTTCTAGGTTCAAAACCTTGTAATCAAGCATTATATAATCAAACATGACAGCAGGAAATCCCCATGTTTGATGTGAAAACATCTGATCAATGGATGTAAACGCATTGAAATGCAGATTTGGATTTTGCATTACCATGAGGGGCAAAAGGTATCATGACTCATGGTTTCTACCACAATTGTCCCCAGGCCTGGGCGCAGAAGGCCTAAGCGCAGCCACTGCGTTGCCGCCGTGTCGGAAGCGGCTTCACTTTGGGAAGGCATCTGCCTGGCCGAGGAGTCCCGCTTCCTATGCGGTTGTTGGTTGGTTTCTACATTTTGTCCGGCATTCGATAAAATATACCCCAGTCTAAATATTATCTATTCTATTTGTAATTATTTCCCATAGGATCCATGTATGGTATATATGCTAACATTGGGGGTATATTGATGGTAAATGTTACCATATATACCATACATGGATCCTATGGGTTTGGATATACTATTGTGTATGGAACTGTGATATTCCCGGACGGTCCCGGACGGTGGACTGAAGAGAAGCACTGGAAAATCGCCATGCCAAGTTGCAGTTGGAAAGCAAATGGAAAGCATCGCCACTCGTCACAAACCAAGTCATTGATGGCTTCCCCAACTGGTTGACTAAACCTCATGTGCCACTGGCAGACATCGGCAATGTTCGGATAGTGGCTGAGGGCGACAGCACACACATGGCATGTACGAAATTGCACAAAGAGCGTGATATGGAACTTGTATGAACTTGTATCATGAACAATATCTGAACACATCTGATATGACTTGAAACCTATATATACTCGCCCTCCAGTTGTTTGATTGAGTAATGAACGGAATCAAAAGGAACAAACAAGCAAAACAAATGGTGTCATTTGCAATTTGGTATGGGCAAACTATGGCGGGCTCTCACCAAGCCAAGAAACTTCCAAGTGAAGAGGTGGCCATCCTCCACAATCCTCCTTCATCTTTTTCTAGGACGACCCTTTTACATCTTTCTCCTTTCAACATCGTGTTGAAACTTTTTTGAACCATTCCAGAGAAACACTGAATGCACACAGTCGAACCATGCCAGGTTGAGATGATGCCATTTACAGCTCGAGTGTAGGGATCACTGCAGCGTTTGGCGATGTGCCGGGGCATGCAGGAAAGGAAGGTCATCGTCCACCTGTCATGGCTGGTCAGGATGGCTGGTGTGGCTGGGATAAATACAGTTTGGACATGTTTGGAACGGGATTTTCTTGCTGTTTTTCATTTGTCACTTGGAGATCATTCAAGACTACGAGTTGTTAAAACCAAACTGGGACAAACAGGATGACAGTGTAGCATCCCATGGCCAAGGTAGCAATAGGAGAGCCCCCATCCAAACCCAGTTGCTACCCTGGCCTGTGATTTGTCCCTTCGCCAGGCAATGCAACGAGTCCAGCCGGCCAATCGCCAGGAAACACGAATCCTTGGGCACATCACGGGCACAGAGAAGGACAACTTGGGATTCAAATGGTTCAGGGCACAAGAAAAGTTGACAATAATAGTCACCTGTTTCTTTGTACTCTTTTCTTTTCCGAAAACATCACATGTGATTCAGGTAGGAATGAGCAAGCAAAGATCGACCGATGTATGATCTATGATCTAAGAATCCATTTTAAGTCCGTGTTCCTGAAGCCCTGACATGGGCAGCACAAACCAGGTTGCACCTGAAAACAATTTGCTGGACATTGGCCAGGAAATGCCTTGACAACCAACTGCGAGGGCCATGCTCAAAAAGCCCGTTGTGCTATGATTAATTAACACCCCAGCAACAGGTAAACTCTATATAAAACCACATGACCATATCACCCGGGGCTCAGTGAGAACAGAACATCTAACAACAGGGCATCAACAGGGCCAAACCAGCCCAAGGCATCCAAATGAATCCAAGTTACCGCTGCATTCCTCCAAGCCCGTGATGAAGTGCTCCCGGTGCTCTCGGACATGAAGCCATGAACTTCACTTTCAATCTGAATTTCAGACAGGCATTCGGCAAGGATTCCAGGTGACTTGGATTGTAGCCAGGGTTAGGGTGCGGGACGTTGTGACTGCACGCATTGTGGGAAAACAGCTGGAATCTTCAGAAAAAGTGTGGAGCAATTTCAATATCAAGGGTTCAGTGTGCGAATGACATGGTATGTGCTCTGGAAAGTGCATCAAATAGGGATTTTCGCAACAAGGCGCGTGCTGCGATAAGGCTCCATAAGATTGTTTGCTCAAAGACCTGTCTGAAGGCCCATCAAGGGTTCACAAGGTCGTGGACCTTCCAGGTTTCAAAATTCAACTGAACTACCAGAGCAAGTGTTTATAAACAAATTGTAAAGTCTCAGCCCTGTCAACAGCATAATGGGTACCTGCCCCCTTTGTTCTGCATGGGGCAGCTTCCGTCGAAAAAATATCTCAAGACGTTGAAGGCGGTGCCATGTTCAAGCTTCATTGAACCACCAATCAATTCCAGAACAACTGGTTTCATCTTCGCATGCACGCTGACCAGGCAGCTGCATCGTTTTTCAAGTGGGACTAAAAAGGGGGAGGGTGTTCTGACCCCTACGAAGCACCCACACGCAAGAGCACGTCGAGACTTACATTTTTGGCCTCTCTTAATTTAGTATTCCCAAGTATGCATCATGCTTGGTCTTATTTCCCAAAACATCAGAACAGCTTTGGAACCATGCGCGGTTTGACTGTCTCGAGCCGCTGCACATGCCAATCATTGTGTCTCAACGGTTTGCACACCGGTGTGCACAGAAACACGGCTCGTCGTGGAATCCCAGCACTAGGCCACAAAGGATGGGTTGGGAAGTTCTTGGAACAACTGTCATGAGCGGCTCACACAGGTGCGGCATTCAATTTGGTGTCGCACCTGAGCCGGCAACAGCAACAGCCCTAAAGGTAAAGCCCCAAACCCACTCGCACGCCAATCTCTCAAAGGATTTTAAAATGACCTTTGGGTTTTCTAGCCTAGATGTCACTGCGATCCTCATAAAGCAGCTACCAGGATCTGCAAAAGTATCATGGCCGCAGTTTCAGGTCAACTCAAGCCACTCTGGCTGGTGAGACTCCATGATTCCTATGAAAAAATGATTTGCACATTGATATGTTCGAAAAACAAGGAGTCATACATGTCATACATGCTTTGCTCAGGCAAGTTTGTCTTACAAGCGTTTGCAGCAGGCAGGAAGCGGATGATCCAGCGCACTTCGATTGTCTGCTATCCACACAGGGAAGTGTCACTAGCAAATCTCAAAGCATAGGGCTTGGAGCTTGAGGAGTTGGAGGCTGAAGAGATTGGATTTTTACTGTGTCTGAAAAGATGTTCCGCACAGTCTCGCAAACCAATTGCGACAGCATCTGACCAAGGGTCTCCACAAGGAACCGGAGCTGCCAGGCGATCTTTGATACCACAGCTTTCCCACCTTGCAAGAACACAGTCGGCTTCGATGATGCGAAGGGAGATTCAATTTCAGCTTTTCACCATTCAAACCGCGTCCCACACGGCTGTGAGTCAAACGGAAGAGGACCCGGAAAATGGAATTGTTGTGGAATCTTGTCAGCGCCTTGGCAAAAATGGGGACATGGTGGGACATGCTTTCAAATAAACTACAAGCAGTTGCAGTTTCGCTCCAGGCAGCTGTATGGGCTCAGCTCGAAGCTGCAAAAAAAATGATGAGTTATGCGACTGAAAAAAAGGGACCATGAGCCCCAGGTCGTTCAGCTGTTCAAAGGTGGGAGCCATATGTATTTCAAGATGTTGCACTTGATCCTTGGCACTCTTGTGCTGAAAGGGGTTGCAAAGCAAATCACACTTTACATCCAAGTTGGTCTGGCTGGTGATGCCACCTTTGACCTTTCAGAACTTGGCCTCAGCGTTGTCCCAAACAAGTAACTAGTTTCAGGCAGTTTTACTCAGCTTCATGGTCTTAATTTGGTTCATTTCCGGCTTGTTAACTTCTTCCTTTTGCAACTCTTCATCCTCCTAAAACGAATGTTGGGATTATAATTTTCAAGCTTTTACAAGGGCTTATGGTGAGTTCAAGGTTTATGTTGTGTTTTTGGAGGGGGAAGTGGAAAGCCTGTATGATCTAATTAAATTTTGCTAGACCACATGACCTCCGCTTTGGCAGCAACCACGGCAAGAACAGCTGACCTCCAACTTTTGAAAGCTTCGTGACGGGACTCACTGCCACAGGTTTCACAACGTCACGCCCGGAGACTTCAAGATCTTTGGCCATTGGTGCAGTTAGCCATTGCTCCGGAGGCTGAAGCGCCATGGATGACTTCAGAAAGATGGATAAGTTCCACCAGTCCCACGTCCGCTACGCTTGCTGGGTCACAACTGGCCTTGCTGGCCTTGCTCCCATGCCTTCCTTCAAGGGCTGCCTACACATGGGAGTGCCGGGATGACAGTACAGCTGACCAATACCAACATATGTTTTTTTCTCTCTTGCCTTTTCTATTCAAATACCCATTGGGCTAATCGGCTTCCCCAATGAAAGTGGCACAAAAAGGTTACCCCACGTCCTGTCACCAGTGCGTTCCCATTTTTCAGGGCCCCGCCGGAATGCAGTTGCAACGCGCAACATATGCAAGGTGTGAACTGCGGAGGTCAGGGCAAATCCCCAAGGACTACATCATGACCATGTACAATCAGAAGAAATTCACGGAGTGGAGCAAGAAACACGTAGCATGTTCTTAGAGACTACTGCTCTTTGCCACCTCATTTGCTCCACAATTCCTGGAATTTTCGGTCTCAAGCTGCATCTTTGCAAGAGAAACGTTTGAATATTGCTAGACACGGCAAAACGCATTGGCTTGCGTTGCGCATACGTGTCAAGTTCTTCATTTATGTGGCCAGAAACTGAGGCGTACAAAAGAACTTCACCAACATGCTTCAAGGCCTCCAAACAACATCCACTGGTGCTGGTCCCAAGTAGCAATCCACTCTGCCAACTATGCCAAATCATTCAACAAGCTACCCCTTTGGAAGGAAACAACTTCATCTACTCTCTTCCGGGCTTGGCACATGACTTTTAAGAATAGATCATTGGGTTTCAATGTTGCTCGTTGCCTTTTGCTGGCCACTGGGCCAAACTTTCCAATTCCCAGCCAAGCAGTGCTGCCGCATGGTGGCACTGGGCAATGTGTAAACCACTCGGGAGGCTGTGGCATTGTTATGGGCCAACAAGCTCAGCGAAGCGAAGGTTGGCCAAATCCTGGTTACATGGGAAACGTCTGCGTTGGACCAGTCGATCGAAACGCTTCGCTTGGTTGAGATGAAGCCACAGCACTGGCTTGGCTGGAAGTACTGGCTGAACTTTGATTCTCTACACCGACCTCCCAAAGGACTTCCTTGAGATCCCGGCACTTGGGGTTGGTACTGTGGGATCCCCTGCTGACAGGTGATTGGGACATACTTTTGGTCTCAAGAATGGCCGGTTGGTACTTCAAAGCGGCTTGTAAGGCAGGAAGGTGGGATGGAAATGCGGGTTCCAGGCACATCAAAGGTGGCAACACCAGCATG